CGTTTCGAAAATAGGTCACTAGGGATAGGCAATTTTGCTTTAGTTTAGGGTTAGAGGTTTATGGTTCAGGTTAGGGTCAGAAAAACCATGGTTGCTCTGATGTTCCCATAGTTTAGAAGGTGCTTATAATGGGCAGAAAAATTAGCTGTGCATTAAAAATCCAGGAGGCCCACTTTTGGGAAAACTGACCATTGGTACATGCATTTCTGCTTTATATGAAGGCCCAGGTTAGGGTTAGGGATAAGGTTAGAGTTGGAACAACCATGTTTCCTTTGAGTCTCCCATGGTTTGGAAGCATCTTAGAATGGCCTTAAAGAATGAGTTGTGCAGAAAAACACAAACCCTGTGATGCTCCTGAGACTTGGACCATGCCTGTCTGTGCCTGCAATGGACAGAAAGAATGATCGATGTTGAAAATATCCAGAACCTCTGCATTTCAGAAATCATTCCTTTCTTATATGCATTTCAGCCCATAATTATGGTTAGAATTAAGGTTTGAATTAGTGTTAAGGTTAGGAAAACCAGAATTCTGGTACTTCGGAATGTCATTAGAATGGGCTGAAGAATGGGCTGTCCATAACACAACTGCCTTTCTGGGAATCGCTTTTCATTTGGCATTTTTAAAGAAATTAGACTGAAAAGAGAGAGAGAGAAGAATGCACCTCTGTATTGCCAATAGCAGCACATTTGTTTTATTCCCTCCTTCTTCCCTTCCAGGACCAACCAGTACCAAATCCAGTTCTTCTTAAAGTGTCCCACAGCCTGAAGGTTACCTCCTGCCCCAAGCTTCAGTGTTTTTTATCTGTAACTATTCCTCATTAATGTTCATTGGCAAAAAAGCTGACAATAAACCATGGGGCATCTGTAAGCAGAACTATTCACAGTAAGCACTGCACCATTCCCAAGGAAGGACAAATTTTATCCTGCTATAGGTTTGTTTGTTGCACATTCTGGAATATTGCATTACAGATAGCACAGGCCTCTGGTTAAGACAGCTGCATTTTTCTTTTAATATGCCAATTTGTGCAAATTATATATAATAAGATAGTAAAAAGAACAGTTGATGCTTCTACACTTTGGCACTTTTCTTATTTATCCATCACAGATAGGGACTAAAAATAGTGATAACATCCTTGAGGTTTAATTAAAATTTAGGTCTGATGGTTCGGTAGGCACGAACTGAAGGCACTAAAAGGCACAATTTGATTTGTTTGGGTTTTTGTTAGGGAGAAACAGCGCCATCTTTTGGCAGATCAGATTTTTGCTCTCATTTCTTGCATCCTGCATTGACAGACACACAGAAAGAAGCTATCGGCTACCATAGTTAACGTGAACTTTATATTTGGAAAAATGGGATACTTCTAAATACCCGCTCAGCAATTATAAACTCCAGGCTGTGACCTCCTCTACAGTGAGTCTTGCCTTCTCAATGTGCGCCTGAAGTACAACAGCTTCAGTTTCATTTTAGCTTCTAGAGCAAGTTCTAGTTTGATTTAATCCAGGACCTACTTCCTGTCCACACAGGGTATGCACAAAGCTCTCCTTCAGAACCATGTTTTGAATGCATCAATTCCTGTCAGTTTTCTTTTAGCATAAAGTCTCGGCATTTAAAGCTGTTTTTAAAAGACAGCCAGCTAGTTAAACTTAACTCAGTTCTATTCCTGGCGGCTACAAATGGCTAGCTTCAGTTTCTACCAGGAGTTGGCAACTTCTAGCCTTCCAGATGTTTTGGCCTATGGTTCCCAATGGTCCTAACCCGCATAGCCAATGGTGAGAGGCAGGATTTGCAGAGCAAAACATTTGTAGGGCCAGAAGTTGCTCTCTCCTGTATCAGGCAGCTGCCTCCGGCAGCAAATAACAAGCAGGGAGTGGCAACAAAATACTGAAAGGACAGGGCTGTTCTGTGTCTGATCTAGCTTGCCCTGGATCCCCTAAGCTAGCCTACTGCCCGCAGGTGCAGCAGTGGAGGATGCTGCCCCATCATCAAGAGTGAAGGAAAAGTCAACTGGCAGGCTGGTCAGCTTCTGTAGGTGCAACTGGAGGATGCTTTATCCTTTACGATCAGTTTGGATGGGGTATGTGAGGCAGAACACACCAGTCTGTGCCAACATAGCCAGTGGTGAAGGCTGCTGGGGAGGTGCTGTCTCTCTGCACCTGAATGGCCGCAGCTTCCCCATCCCTGATTGATACATGCAGCTTGCACAGGTGCAGCAGACATTGTAGGCTACGGCGTTAACTTCAGGATTCGTATTCTATCTCAATGGGCCATCCAGCCAAATGACTGAAGCTCTTCTGGATGCAGTGCAGCAGACTAGGACCGTAAGCCTGCGTTCTGCAGGCTTGGGAGTTAAGTCCCCATTCAACCCAGGCAAATATCAGCTGCATGAAGAGGCTGTAACTTAAAATTCACTACTACACTGATTCTCCAACCTACTGTAACACCGAAACATGACTTTAGAGGGGCAACATAAATGTTTTCCAAAGTTCTGGTAACCAAGTCAACACCCCCAGCCCAGATTGAAATAGAAAGGAATTCTTTCATCCCCTGAGTTTTTATGTATAAAAGGACATGAACTATTTTAACCAGAGGGTCCTCTCTGTTACTAGATGAATCAATGTTCTATGTAGGCCTCCTTAGGACAGGTTATTCTGCTTCTTCTGAAGCTGTATTGCCATTCCAAGGTGAGATCCAACTGGAGGTGTCTAAGTCAGCACATCCAATTAATGATCCGATTCTTTGGGTTTACAGCAATCTCACTGATGGCAGAGTTTGGAATTGCTAGATTCTCATTTGAGTCAAGTCAACGTTTCTCAGAAGACTTGATTTTCTGGTATTTTCCTTTCACATCCTAGAAAGATGCCGGTTTGTAGTACTACTTTTTTAGTAGCACCTTTTCTTTCCAATATACTAGAATAAAGCCAGGTCCATGGCAATGTGGAAGATGAAAAATGGTAATCACCCCCCCCCCCACCATGTAAACCGAGAAAAAGCTATCACCACTGCTAATGGTGAACAGCAGATGAAAATGTTGAATTTATGCTCCCTCTGAAGAAATTTCATGAGATGAGCATGTCTCCACCTGCAGCTCCACTTCCGAACCCAGTTATAGAAAAAAAAATTCTAGAAAACATTGGCCCACTCTCTAGTTTTAGCTATTTTAATAATCAACTCCTTTGGTTGCACGGCTTCCTAGTTTTCATTTTTAAATTGCAAGTGCAGCAGTTTGTAATGTACAAATAAAACATTCACAAATACTGCTTAAACAGCTGTTAATTTGTTGACAGTTTAACACTTGAAGTCACTGCTTTTCATTGTTCTGCTTGCACTTCTGGAGCATTCAACCCACCCTCTTTTGACATTTACCATAACCAGTTCCAGGACCTCAAGAGATTCCAAGTCTTGACTTTGAATTGCTGTAGTATATCTTAATGCCTGTGTTTCAGTTACTGAAACAGGGAATTGGATTTGCTTTGGTACTTGGCCTTTCCTTCTATTACACCTCATCACTTAGCTTCAATGGCAGGAAGTTCAAAGGCTGTGCAATCTAAGTTAGGAATAGATAAAAGCTGTCATATAAAGCTAGACCACTAGTGGTATGTATGCTAAGTGGCAGTGGTTCCCCAAGGTTTCAGACAAGTGCTTCACAGCTCAACCTAGATATGCTAGAAACTGAATCTCCCCCCCCTTTTTTCATTTTTCATGCAAATCTAACACTCCTTGCCTGAGCTAGTTATTCCTATAATTAATGTTGAGTTCCATTAACACTAATAGGTACAAGTTCAGATGGCCAAGTGCCACTAATTTCAATAGAAAATACCAAAATTAGACTCTAGATCAGACCTGGGCATTGGACGGCCCGCAGGCCACATCCCGCCCGATGACTGACTGGCCCACATGAGGTCACTGGCAAATTAAAAGTCAATGCAAATATATATCGTTGTAATACAGATGCAATACAACTGCACTGCTTTTATTTTGAAGGATCTGCTAAATTGAATTTGCTTTTCATGTAATGTTAATGTTTTTGTGAATATTCATTAAATAGTGTTGTTCTGTGCTCCACATTTTCATTGTATCATTGTAATGTTTCATTTACTGTTTTTATAGAGATATATACTGAGCAGAGCTGTAAGTGTATTGGTCCGGCCTGGCCCTTAACAACTGTCAAAGTTTCTCATGTGGCCCCATAGGAAAATTAATTGCCCACCCCTGCTCTAGATGTTGTTTTAAACAGGTTCAAGAAGTTGGACATGATTTTGCTCAATCCAGAGTTCAGTCTCCATTGCATGTATTTAGAAGTAGCAAGCTTCCCGGGGCAAGAAATAGTCAATGGAAAGTCCAAACCAAACCAATGTTTTACAACTAGTTTAACAACGCCTATGTTGTAATGTGCTTATTTATCTTAATTACAGAACTAAAACAAAAAAAGGAGTTAAGGGATGTTAGTCTTTACCCTCCATTCTCTGCAGTCAATCTGTCTAGAAAGGTTATCATTAATCTTAACAGCCATACAACAGAAATGTGCAAATTCTTTGTCCCCAAGGGCCACTGGATCAGACTGTCTTCTAGCAGGCATGCCAGCCGTGGAGGGGCCTAAACCCAGGGTTCTACCTCCCCTCTCAAACACAGTGTTCCACCCACTCAGTCCATCTCCCACGTAGTTCTCCCACCTTACACCCTCCCCACCATCAAGATCTTGGGTGATATGCACACAGGTAAGGTTTTTGCCTCCCTGCTTACAGATGAGAGGCTGCTGCTCTAGTAAGCGTAACTTATCTGTTGTTCCCTGTTAGTAATATTATCCCTGAGAAACTATCATATACTGTGGACTAAAGTGGCAATAATGTGCTTGCAGTCCTGGGGAAAAGAGGTACAGTGGCAGAGAAATAAGAAAGAAAGGAGGCAGGTAGCTTGCTGTCCATGTATGTACTACAAATACTGTTTTTCTAAGGAAATTGATTAAAGCAACTGAAAAAATTAGACAGGTTATGCAAACATAGTGGGTGTAAATGAAACTCAAGTTTTATTCCGCTGCTAGTTTATGCTTTTTTGGGAGAAGCTGCAGCCTTCTGGAGCTTCTTTACTTCATGCTTGATGATCCTGTTTCTCTGTAACGAACAAAGGTGTAAATAGTTATAACCAAGAGCTCAGTACCCACTGGCCAAATCAACTCTACAATCACACACATATAAACAATTGAAAGGGTATGTTGCATTCAGGTTGAAGATATTTTAGTAAGCTCTTATCAAGAAAACCTGCATTCATTTTACAGAAGTCCATCCACTACTTCTTGTAGTTGTGCAGAAAAGACAAAATATAGCCAAAAAATGTGCAGAGTGACAGGACTTTTATCTAATTAACTGATTGTCTTCCTACATTTCAGTTAAAAAGCTGTTTCATTTTTATGGAGTGTTGATGGATAGATTTTTCCAGCCGATTGTACAGCTTGGATTTGTATCGAACTCCCTTGGCAACTCTGTCTATTTCAGTTTGCTGTTTATTAGTTGTTTTGCTTTCAAAAAATAAAATTAAAAGAAAAAAGATCTACCAAATAAAGATAAACAAGACAAATGGGCATGGGAAACAGAAGAGACAGCACACATGGTATTTTAAAATGCTCTCAGCAACTGTATTTAGTGGGCATTTCACCCACTGCTCTCACAATTCAAATTAACTAATTTTCCCCAGTGCAAATACTACCAACAGAAGCGGAATCTGAACCTAAGTAGATGGCTAACTGGGGCTACACACACACACACAGTTGCAGGAATCTGTGATTTCAGTGACAGAGAAAGAAACCAGTGCTGGTCTGTATGTTCATAGCACAGTGCCGGCTATACCCAGGCAGGAGCACCTACACTTATCTAGCTGTGCATCATTGTAAGAATATTTGTGGATATTCAAATGGAAGACAAAGAAACTGTGAGAATGGGCCTCAGGTTTGTAAATTAACAACACACTCAAAAGTGATCCAGAAAAACAAGTCTTACTCACATTATAAAATTATCAGCACTTCCACACCACTTTTGAAAACAATGATTTTTTTAAGAGTCAGTTTTGTATGCTTTACGTACCATTTTCTTTGCCTTCATGACTTTGTAACGATCAAAATCTGACATTTTGGCTTTCTGTGAAAATATTTTACAGGATAAACAAGATTAATAAGCAGAATAGTCTGCCTAGTTTAGACTATTTACAACTCAACAAGATACAAATATTAGCCCTACCAATTTATAAACGCCCAGATGTTTTATCTTGTTGTATTTCTATCCTACCCTTCCTCTAATGAGCTTAAGAGACTGTTTCTTTCCCTTTCCCATTTAAACGCTGCCAGGCAGATTCAGCTACAAAAGGAATGGCTGCTCCAAGGTCACCCAGTGAAGTCAGCCTTGTCTCCCTGCTGCTTCTACAACATTCCAATTACTACAACATGCTGGCTCTTTTATCTCCCACAGTTTTAAGTATCCATTCAATCTGATGGAGGAAACTTCTCTGGATACAAACCATTTTTAACTGGCTAAACGTAAATACATTTGATACTGTTAAAACCTTTATAACAGATGACATTTTAAAGAATAGCGGAAGTAGTGTGAACTTACTTTAATATAAGCTAGTTAAGAGTTTGAAGGAAGATAATCTCACTTTTTTCCCTATTAGTTACCACCCTACAGCCAAGATGGCTTTCAAAAATGAATGTGCACCTTTCAATTTCTGCCTCAATTAAAAATAAATCACTGCTACTTAAGTAATGCTTTAGTACATCCATCTATAATCAAATCCTTTAAGGGTGCAATCTTACAAGGGTGCTCATAAGGCTGGGAACTGGGTGGTTTACAGGTATCCAGTGATGAGCAAGAGGATTGGTGGAGGCAATAACTCCCTGTTCCTCCCACTCTTCTTTTTCACTACTGTTTTCAGTGTGATAATAGTACATCAAAGGAGGAGCGAAGGAGGCTAGAAAGGGCTTCAGATACTTCATATTCTGGCCAGTCCAGTCTTCTCCCTGCCACCTGAAACTACTCTGATTCCCAGCCCCAAGTCTGCCAAAGTGATAACACCATCTCCAACCCTGTAGCCAGAAATCAGAATCATCCTATGGCCCCTTCAGAAACTATCCAGTGACCACAGAATCATTCCCTAAAGTTTACAGCTTATGCTTGACATTCAGGCATAACACTATCAGCAGATATCAGGGAACCTAACCATTTACAGAAGTACCCAAAAAGAATTAAGGAAAATGTAAGGTACTGATATAATGAGGCAACTGGGCATTTTAAAACCATGGGCTTATTTGAAAGCAAAAAGAGCGAGTGGTGATAATACAAACTTTACCCTACCCTCCAACCAAATTCTTACCCCAAAAACCATTACAGCAAACAGAATAAAAATGACCAGTGTGGGGAGAAGCATTAAATTTAAACATTTAAAGTGGCTTGACAAATAAGCAATCAATCCCTGGTTCCAAAAGGCATCAAAGTAAGCATCTGACAAGAATAGAATTCCACAAACAAGGCACTCTGAAAAAGTCTCTCCACTATAGTCATTTCCTGTACTACAGATGGGAGGGGTACTCAAACTAGCACATCTACTGAAATGCTTAATAAACAGTCAGGTACATGGAGTCAGATGGCTCTGCAGCTGAATGGCTTTAGCTGCAATGGTGCTCAAGTCATTCCTAATCATTTAGCTTCCTGAGTAATACTATTGCAGCTACATTAGCATCAGTTTTTCACAGCACAATGTTGCATACATTATAGTATTTTGGAAACATACCTTTGCCCTGGCCTCAATTTTTTGTGCCCATCTGGTAGCTTTCCACTTTTCATTAATGTTCTCCTTCTCCCAAGCAACTCGCACACATTTTTGACGAGCACTAGATGTAAGAACACACACAAGGATTTGTTAGTGCAACGTAACAGCTTCATTTATAAATGACTCTTGACAACCTACACAGCATGCACTGAAAAACATTCTATATTTAAATATTTCAGTCTCCAGAGTTCTAAATATTTTCTATCATGTTCTCATTATTACTAAGTAACGAATGAAGAATTATAGCAACCTACACATTCAATGCTTCCCAAAATCTTCTAGAGAATTTTGCAACAGTTTTATCAGCATAATAGTCTTTCAATGAATATGGCAAAGAAAGGACAATAATCATAAGGGACTAGTTATTCATACAGTTTTATGGTAGCACTCTACATGCTGGAAGGAGTTCAGAAGCTTTTACTTAACCATGGTTTGTCATGTGGTCCGGCCAGACAAAGCAAACCAGAGCTCCTGAAGCTACCTTGTTTAAATCAACTAGCTACTGTTAGTCACAGTACAAAATCTGGATGACATGGCAAACTGTTGCTGTAAAATTAGAATTCTTTCTCTCAACAAGAGTAAAAGTGAGAAAGCTTTCTGCTACCCACTGACACCATGCTAAGCCATAGCGTAGTACAATAATCTCACATGACCAATAGGTCCAGCAGACACAAGAGTCCACTGTGCCAGCAAGAACTGAGCTGGTGAGGTGTCTCAAGATCTTATGAAATCTGGAATGTTACCAGGCCTGACCTGTATTTCAAAATACATAGAGGGCTGATTATCAAACCAGAAACTTTAGCTCAGATCTGCCACATAAGGCAATCTAAGATGGGCTGCTGGCAACATTCTATGGGTATCTGCCCTAGCTTAGCCATGTTCATACTGAATTTGGATCCCTCCATAGCCTGAATATTGGATATACAAAATAGCCTTCAGGCTGACCTGAAAAGGCAACTTCCTCTTGTGAATAATCTAGAATGCAGGAAAGTTCTGTGCAACTTTACATCTTTATCAGCTTTAAGAGAAATAGAACAAGATAAACCCCAATATTTTTCCTACAACACTAATAATAAAAGTGTTAATTCAAGAAGAGAGAGACAAGTAATTCTTAAGCTACCAACCTGTGAGGAAACTTGAGAACAAAGTCAGTTAGCTGCATGCACTTGAAAGGCATAGCTTGCCTTCTCACACCGCTGCAGGGACCATCTACTAATGCCTAAAGGAAATGGGAAAAACATTGGGTTTTCTGAACTGTTTTTGAGATTGCCCCTAACTTGGGGGTTAAAGAATAAAAATATTTTGTCTGCAAGGAAATCTGAATCAGTTTAGATTCTATTTCTGAAGGCAGAAATTTGAATGAGAAAAACCAACAGACAAGAGATACCTCTCCCTACCACCCTTCAACTCCCTTTATATATTAGTTATAAGGGAGCAGTATCTTCTTGAAGAACAGGAAGCTTCCCTGACTACCTTTCTATCCCACTTTCACAAAAAGGTCAGGGAGAGAAGCACCACTTATTTTAATACTACTAAATATTTTAATTTAATAGTAATTTTAATATTAAAATGACCACTTATGCATACTTTTTCTGAGAGTACATCCTATTTAGCATAGCACAACTTGAGAGCAAACATAGATAAGATTGTTTATCTATAACACATATGACTATAACCTGTTTTAACCTTTTAATTTTTTCTGATTTTATATTTTATTGCATTTTATCATGTTTTTATGGATTGTTATAAACCATCCAGATTGCTTTGGCTGTGGGGCAGTATAGAAATGAAATAAATTTTAATAAATAAAAATACCTGTGCTGCACTTATCTGGCAAGATGAATTCTTACCATTCTTTCTGATGCTTTACTTTGGAAAAAGTTTTAAGAAAATATGAACTATGGGAAAGGACAGGCTACACAGAATTAGAAAAGATTGTTTTGCTGCAAATATTCTAAGGTAAGCAGACAGTAAGCAATTCTAAATAGCTCAATATAAACTGAACAGGTACAAGAGAACTTTTGAAGTATAAGATGATCATGAAGCTGATGTCTTCAAAAAGCTAACATGTCATGTTTTGTAAGCAAACTATTTTCAAGTATAAGCCAAAAAAAGGGAAACATCAGGGAAATTATTATTATTATTATATTATTATAACATTTCTATGCCGCCCCTTGCCGAAACCTCGGGGCGGCTTACAACATGATAAAATACATTGAAATACAATAGTACATAAATGAGCCTGCATTGTCAGTGACCATGAAGGAAACCCCCTCCTCTGCAGCCACATAGATATGCATGCTACTAGCCCCTTAGCAGTTTTTTTTACCATGTTGCTTTTAATCAAGCAAACTGGTGACAGAAGCATGGGGAGACCCATGCGCCTGTTCCACCAATTCACTGGATTTCCATATGGGTTGTGAAGGAAAAGGATTCTCTTCCTCTCCAGATAGCAAACAAAGGGGGGGGGGAATGCTGGCAGAGTAAGAATTGCTGTCTTTTCCTTCTCAGCAAGTCTGCATTTATTTGGAATTCATGATAGTTTCAGAAGCACATCACAAACTTGCAAACTTACCCTGTTTTGATCAATAACATCCACAATTGCTACTAGCTTGCCTGCATGCGGCCCAAAGGAAATGTAGGCAACTCTGCCAATCTCAACATAGCGCTTGAACACCTTAATGGAAAAAATGTATTATTTTAATACTGCTAGATGCACACAGCCCTGTATGATGAAATTTAATAGCCACCTTTTATTAGAAATCACCCATACTCAGGAGCAGCAGCAGACAACTTGGGGGAAAGGAAGTCACTACATCATCCTCCATCCTTCCCCACACCATCTTTTTCACATCATTTAAAAAAATGTACAAAATGCTTGTAAGCAATATACAATCCTTCTCAACAGCCCTATAAAATAGATCACTTATTTACATCACATTTTACAAAGGAAAAAATGATACCCCCCCCCCCGTTGCTTACAATGGAGAAAAGGGAAGGCATGTGCAACGTTTGCAGTAACTTTGTTTAGGAAAAAAATACAACAGATGTGTGAAATTAGGGGGCTGTATTTCCACGAGTTTGAGAAAAATATGCATTTTGAGAGGGTTTTAAAGAAAGGTTCAATCCTAAGCACGTTTAGCTGTGGATGAGGCCTGCTAGGTGCTTTAGACTTTTCCTGTCTAAAGTTGCACAGATGGACGGGGCTTTCTGATCATATCCCTCCACAGTATTCATATTAAGCCACACTTTCTTAATGCATCTATTCATGCTTTATGGAAACCAAAAACAGGGCCCCTTAAAGAAGCGAGGCAACCTTCCCGAGGAACCCTACTGTGGAGTCGTGTCTGATTCCGGCTCTTCCCACCCGCGGGATCCATGGGGTTAGAGCTTCCCCACGAGCGCCCGCCCCGCAAATGTCGGCCGGGCGGGAGGGCGCGATGTGGCGGCGCCTAATCACCGACTACGGGGAAGCTTTCCCCAAGGCCGCAAGACAAAGGAAGCAGCCGGACGGGGCTAGCAGAAACCCCCCCGATGTCCCTCCTCACACCTCTCGCCAGCTCCTCGCGAAAGGCCCGCACTACAACCACCGCTTATTCCCTCTCTCTTCCCAAGTCGTGGCACCACCGAGGTCCCTCCCGCAGCCGAGGCAGAACTACTGCTGGGCCCTCCTCGACCTGCCGCCACCGCGGCCATGCCTGCACGAAGCTGCGCCCCCCCCTTCTTCCCCGCGATAAGCCGCTAACAAAAGCCTCGCGAAAAAGGCCTCAGCCACGCTCACGCGCTCACCATGATGGCTGCCGCACGAGCCGACTCAGAAAAAGAAAGAGGCACTTCCGGTCCCGTCGCGATACTTCTTCCAATGCCCTAACCACGCATGCGTAAGAGGAAGAGGCGGGGTTGAATGACCTCATTTCCTTTGGCGGGGCAGAGCCATGTCGCTGAAGTTCGACGATGCAAAGGGGGTGATGAGGCGCATGCGTGAGGGCGCTTTGCGAGCTGAGTGGGAAGACTAACTTCGAGCGCTTAGCTGGCACGCATGCGTTAGTGCATTGCAGAAATCAAGGATTCCCGCCTTCTCCGTGATCGGCTTTACTATACGCATGCGTAGTAAACCAGTATTGTGTAGCCTGAACAGTAATGATGATTCAGGCCAAAAGGGGAGCGCTGCGGGGCGGTACACCATTAGAATGGATGCAGAGAGCAAAAAGCGGCCCAGGACTGGACTACTTTTGGCTACGCTCAAGCTTCTTTCGTTGAACTCAGTGAGTCTCGTTTCTGATCAGTTCCTGTTACTGGGCTAGATAATCGGTCGATGATGCAACTTGCTTGCAGAGGAGATGCATACAAAAAATTATCTAACTGCACTGCTGGCTTTATAGTAAAACTTTTCCAGTGGGTTCTTGTCTCTCCTGCAGCTAGGAAAGGCATAGTGCTGTCCTCTTTAATAAAAGCGGAAGTTCTGCATAAGAACCATGCAGGAGCGAGCCAGGAGCCCTTCTAGTGCAGTGTTCTCTGCCCATGGAAATGCTAAAGCAGGACAAGAGTGCTCTTCCCTGCCTAGAAAGAGGGGGCAGGGTCAGGGATGCAAAAGCTGAAGGGGTGATTTTTTTCCAGGGTGCCCATGTCCCCTTTGTAGTGAATCACCAGATGCTGTTCGAGGAGTCTGTTTCCACCTGCTGCCTCTTCTCCTGTAGGCTGCTTGCCAAGAGCCTGTCCCTTTCTGGATGAGTCTCCAGAAGCCCATGCCTCAGGAGGACTGTGTGTCATCCGCTGTGTGTGACCTCTCCTTCCTCCCCTTTGTGCATGTTGTGACCCCGCTGAGTGCCTGCGAGCAGCACCAGAGGCCTCGGATCCCCCCCCCCCGCAGAGGGGGGGATGCCTTGGTGACGACTGGCAGAAGGAGCACCATTGATGTCTGTGCTCTTAAAGCAGCTGCGCTGTGATGCAGGAGAGGCCTGCAACCTTTGTTATCGATGACTTCCTCTTTGAGTGTGGCATGTTTGTCTCCTTGTGCATTTTTCCTCCATACCCCATGCAAATATAGAATAATGCCACCATTCCAGCAGCATAATGGCAACTTATCTCCATCCTGCCATCCTACCAGCATCATTAGACTAAAAGATTGCTCTCTCTGCCTGCCAGTCAGCATGCCAATTCGTCATATCTCCCCTCTATAACGTGAGAACAGCCCCATGCTGTTCATGTTAACTCATCTGGAATAATGACCAAGGCCTGGTTTCCCTCTCTTAATCACTCCAGTAGCTTAAACATTTCCACCTCCTGCAATTCTTAGGTCACTCTGATTGGGAATACCAGTATATGAGAGGGCAGTGAAGAATAACAAATCTGTTTTATGTAATTGGGGATATGAACCCTTGAAGAAAGCTGTTTAAAGTAACAGAAGAGCAGGAGAAAACTGAACATTTATGAGATCTGGAACAAGTCAGAGATGTATTGTAAGAGGAACTCTTTAGAAGGACTGCTTGGCCTTAAAAAGAGGCAAGCAAAGGGAGATGCAGTAAAGGTGTACACAGTTATATTTGGTGAAGAGAAAGTGGATAGGGAGACATTTTTCTCCTCTCCTAACACCAGAACCAGAGATCATCTCATTAATCTGAATGGTAAAAGATTAAGGACAGATAGTATCAAGTGTAAATTGGAGTCCTGCTACTGCAGGGGCTTGGACCCGATGGCCTTCTTGATCCCTTCCAACTCTTCTACTCTATAACTCTATGTACTTTTCATATGGCTGTTGTGAGGATAAATGGAGGCGAGGAAGACAATGTTAGCCACAACAGGTTCCTCACAAGAGGAAAAAAGGTGGCATATAAATGCAGTGTGATGATGATAATACAGCTTCTGGTTGATCTATGAAATTTGCTATTCCAAGAGGTGATGAATACCAACTTGGACAGCTTTAATGCAGGACTGGACAGATTAATGGAGCAGAAGGCTATCAATGGCTACTAGTCCAGATGGCTGTTGTCTTACCTCTAGAATCAGGGGCAGTATATGCCTAGATTCATCAGTTGCTTGGGAACATGGATAGGCAGATGCTGTTGCACTTTATCCTGCTTGCCATTTCCCATATACAGATGATTGGCCAATGTATCAACAAAATACAGGACTACATGGGCATTTCTTCTGATTCAACATGGTTCTCCTTATGTTAACCTTTTGCAAATCTCCAAAAGCCCAGGGCTTTTGGCTGCAGATATATCCTAGTTGGTTTTTGTTGCTGCCCAAAAACAGTTAAATTCAAAAGTGCCACAAAGGTCTGAGGTAGATTTATATGTTTGAGAGGGTACACCTTGTTATCGTTGTACCACTCTTTCCTTTGCCTCTTTTTTATTTGTCTCTCACTGCTTTTTAAAAGTAAGTACATGTGCAGGCCTCCATCATGAGCTTGTTTTATTCCGCAGCAAATACATGTTCAACATGGCAAGCGTTCTTTTGCATGCGTGACACAACACATGAGTAGACAAGGAAAATGAGACAGAGTAACACCACTGCTGTGAAGAAGAAAAGCAGTCCAGCAAACAAGGAGGGATTCATAGGGAACCAGATCCTGTCACTTTCTGCTGGGATCATGTTGGTGAGATTGAGCATGTAGCCCAAGGACCAGGCTATGCTGCTGTTTCCAACCTGAAACACAAAAAGGAACCTCATGAGAATCTGCAACCGTCTCAACTTAGGGCCTTTCCAGAAGAAAAGAAAAAGCTGTTTCTGTAGATCAGCCTTCCTCTATCTGATGCCCTCCAGTTATTTTGGACTACAAATCCCAGCAGCCCTGATCATTGGCCATGCTGGCTGGGGCTGATAGAAATGGAAGTCCAAAGTATTTTGCACTTCAAAATATTTCTCATGCATGGATGGTGAGAGAGGAGCACATAAGGCATGCATGCTCATCTTCATAATGGGAAACCAAGGTTTCCAGGTATATCTGAACAAGGCCATTGTCTGATAGTGGGGAAGAGCCCCTTTGCCTCCACAAAACCTGTCCCATCTATACATTTCTTCATTCACATTTACTGAAACACTTCCTACCCACAACACTTAGCCGGCCTTGCTGTACAGAACACATGAGTAGCAATTGCAAATGCCTCCCTCTAAAAACAACAGGATGTGTGGGAATGTTGTGGCACAGAATGCACTACAGCACCCCAAACCTGGTATCAGAACCCCTGGACCACTTGGGAGGCGTCTACACTGCAGCTAATTTCAGTGTCAGCATCGCCTCTCCTGAAACAAGGAAGGCGTTGTCTCATGAATTCCTCTCACATGGTCTGTGGGTTCTGATATTACTTTCACAGAGTAGGAAATATTTTACTTCTGCATGGTGAATTCAATATCATAATGGAGCTTGTCATTTCCGCAGCTGCAGTAAAAGCTCAAGAAGACACCTGCCCTGCTCTTTTTATTCTTGTGACATTTATTTATTTATTTATTTATTTATTTATTTATTTATTTATTCGATTTATATCCTGCCTTTTTCCTACAAAGGGCTCAAGGCAGCTTACATCGTTCACCTCCTCCATCTTATCCCCACAACAACAACCCTGCGAGGTAGGTTGGGCTGAGAGTCTGTGACTGGCCCAAAGTCACCCAGTTGGCTCCATGGTTGAGCGGGGACTGGAACCCAGATCGTCTGAGTCCCAGTCCCATGCTCTTAACTACTATACCAAACTGGCTCACATACAGAGGGATCTTGGAAGCAGGAAAATAAATCTAATGCCTGAAGTAACTGCTTGACATCACTTTATGGTTGGGGCCAACCCAGGACATTTTAGTGCTAAAGACAAGCCCAAATCCCAGCCACACATTAAAAAACATGGGGACACGATCTACAAGATGGTTCCCTGAAAGCCCCATTAGAATGAATGGGGATTTTGTAGGAACTCCAGATCTGCCTCCTGTCAGTGCCCCAGGGCTGGATCAACCCTACTTACAGTAAAGCCAACCTGTTTTCAGATGTATTCTTTTGCAAGAAAGGGCTGTTGAGATCTCCTGTAAAAACAGCTCTACACACTGAGTGCCTAACTTCTTAATTACTTTCCCTTCTGTCATATCTTCCTTGAGGTGGGGTGAATAGAACTCACTTCCTTCTGAAAATGTATCTGAGGCCAATTCTCTGCATTGAACTTATATCCATGTATCAGAAGGTAATAGATGTAGTTTGCTGAAAAGCAGTAAGATCTCGCATATGTTTCATCAAATTTCGGTAGCATATATGGAAGCTGAAAAAAAACCAAAAATAGTTATTAGAAGGAAATCAATAATTGGTTTAAGAAAAAGCAGACCCAATGAACTGTGAATCAAGGCTTGGGATTTTAGGATGGCATTTTTCTAGTTGTCCCAATCATTTCAATCACAGTGGAAGAGCAAGTCATGTTTAGCCTACAATTCGCATCAGCCTTAGCCTGCATGTAGTGAGGGGTGGTGGGAGTCAGAGCCCAGCTGAGTGAGAGCCAGTGTGGTGTAGGGCTTAACAGTGTGGGACTGAAGCCCAGACAATCCGGTTTTCAGTCCCCACTCAGCCATGAAGTTCACTTGGTGACTTTGAGTCCAGCCCTTGTGAGAATAAGAATGAGAGGAGGAGGAGAATTATGTAAGCCACCTTAAGTCCCTTCAAAGGGAAAAAAAAGCCTGGGATATAAATCCAATTAATAACATTTGGAGGGCTACAGGTTGGCCACACTTGGTATAAAACCTGCTTCTCCACTGTGATTGTAGTGGCTGGGGCAACTAAAAGAATGCTTTCTTAAAAGGCATCATTACCAGAATAACTGAGAAACTCAAGATGTATCTGAAAGGGGAAAAATATATTAGGCAAACAATATCGATATGGAGATCTGAAAACTGTGCCAGTCAGCTTTCAGGCATGATATCCATTTTCCAGAGAAAGCCTGCCAAGACAAAACTGCCGAGCCACTGCACTTTCTCAGCTATATTTAATACAGAGCTGAATATTAGATTATATTCTACCTTTCTAACAATATAAATAAAAAGGCACAATTTTATGTCCTGTTCATTTCACTGAGAAAGTTGGGCCCTTGCTTTCCTTTGGCTGGTTTGTTTCCAGCATATCAGAGCATTTCAGGGTTCTACTATGACATCTGAGAGTGAACTTGAAGGTTTTGAAAATGGGAAAAAAACTAATATACTTTGTGGTGTATTTTTTTGCTTATGCATTTTGGCAAACTGAGATAGTGTGTTTCGCATGGATATAAGCTATATCCTTTGTAGATATTTCCTTGCAAATTTACGAGATTAATACAGACCTGGTTCCAATTCTGCGAGCAGAAACTCCACATGCTTGAATTAAAATCAGCCAGTGAAAATTGTCCAGTTAAATTCAAAGCATTGACTGTGTAGTAAAATCCAGAAAATGCCTATGAATAAAGTCAGATGAAAGGTATTTCACAATTATCATTCTAATTGTAAAGATCTGCCAAGTACAGGAAAAAAATATGCCTGCAGATTTATTTGGTTGATTTTTAAAAAGTACACTCTTCCCACCCACTCATTTCCATGGTGGCGTACTAGCAAGTATTAAGCAGCATCAAAATTGCAATGCAGTAATATTGGAAACCACAACTACTCAGTACGAATCACAGCCATAACCACCAAATAAACAAGCAAAGAAGCACAATAAGAAGCAGATAAATAAAACATACCACAAAATTTCCTTTTATTTTTGGCTGATGGATTCCGTTAAATGAACAGTCTTTCTTGTCTCTGCAAGATGTGAAATTAAATAATACAGACACGGCCTCCCTACAGAGAGTTGGATCCCCAGTTCCGACGACAGTTACAAGCTGGCTTGCATTGTAATTCTCTGTAATTAATTTCTCTGTGCAGAGGCTTCCATATAAATGCTTCATTGTTAAAGCTGTTTCATAATTCTGAGGATAGCATGGATTTTCAATCCTGGATTTATTACCTGAATTCTGAAGGTTAATAAACAGGAAGGATTTTCATTAGAAGGAATAATTTAGACAAGCATAATTGAACAGTCTATTTTGTGTATGCATTCTAGAGTGTAGCCAGAATGTTAAAGAAGCTATCCATGGTGCTCAGTCAGTTTCAGGGCTAGGGTTCAGCACATGGATGGCCCTTTTAAAATTCAGACTAAAGTCCAGAGGGGATACCATGCCCCATAGACACCAGAGCCACTCTCCTCCACCGCACACATTCACTCACACAAACATATAACTGGAATGTCATGGGAAGCTGCTGGGGAAAGAATTGCAGAAGCAAAACAATGAGGGGCAATAAATTTGTTGTCCCACGCTTCCCACCCATTATTTTCTCCACCAAATTGTGCCCTTTAGAATTTGCTTGGCTTTTGTAAAAGCATTCATTGCAGTTTTGTTACACCTGATTTAACTGTCCTCCATTTTCTTGTTCCATATTTTCTGGCTACTAACTACAAGAATATATAAAACCCAATTAACTTGGGTTAATTTACACTTTACAATACTGTTCTTTTGCTAAACATTATGGCCCTCAAATCCCAGGACTAAGTAGACCCAGGGCCTCAACTGTATCTACTTCTGTGCATCCCATTTTAAAAATACACATTTTCACAGATACATTTGCGAAAAATAAATGAGTTACAATCAAGATCAGAGCAAGTCCTAGAAAGTGACATGGTTGGGTATTTGCTATGACCTCAAAACCAACTGCACTGCCCTTATGGTACTCCCCTTTCTACTTCACACAAAGTATCCAAGGAGATACAGCCTAAGAGAATTATCAGATTGCACACCCCATCTCTTCCAGACTAAAGAGGATCACTGAGGATGCCATGAACAAGAACCCCCTCCAGAAAAAATCTTGGGAACAGCACTGATCAAGATTGTGCATGTTCTACAGAAAGAAATTGCTGTTTGCTCCTAGAAGAGCAAACATAGGATGGATCTGTGATCATCAAAACACAGCTGATCAACAGTCCTCCAGATACTTCCTGAAGCTCTAAGAGCTGTATCTATTTTGCGTGGGAGTCCAGGCAAACACGGACGTTTGGCCAGCATTTTCTGCAGTAGAGAAGCACATTCCGAGGAGAAGCATGCTTTCCAAAACACAGCGGATGCACACCAGCCATCTACAACAAAGCGTGACTCCCAGATTCTTGTCCTCGAGTCCTGACAGATTGAAACCACCCCTTTATTTCCTGCTTGACACTATCTGTCTTGAGAACATTCAGAAACTAATTTAGTTTCAGTTCATTTTGATGCGCTACATGTTTACTGTGGCTCAAACCAGTAGGTACGGGTGGCCATATAAACTGTGCCACAGTTGTGGTGTGCCCTGAGACACTGGCAAGGGAAATTCACACTTGCTCTCTCATCAGTCCTTTGCAAAGTATCCACAGATAGCCATGCAGTGACGAATTCTGGATCAGCTCTTTCATGAATATTTTCTAATTCTCACAGAATCCTGAAGTCCATAAGCAGCAGTAGATCCTATTTGCCACATTTGTTTATCCAGCCATGACATTTTCCTTTCAGATTGAATGTGCAGTCTCCTAACCTGTGGGGATAGCTAGAAGGTCCTACATACAAAATATGATGCTGGATGTATTGAAAATACCATATCCCAACCCAGTATGCTCCCATGATATCTAGAGGGAGAGCACAGTGTGATGCTGCATCAGAACTTCCCATAGGATGTGAAGTCTTTATGCTTCCCAGGCATCCCACATTGCTAACGGGGATCAGTCCGCCCCCTGCAATTGTATCACTGACGTTTGACAGTGAACACACGGAGGAGGAAGAGGTACCTGCTCTGCAGGACTTAAGTAGAGAACGGGATGCTTGGGATGCATGCTCCAACCTGAGACTGCCATGATGCGCAATATGCCTTACATAAGCTTGTGACAGCAAGTCCTGCTTGTGCCATATAGCCCAGTGCAGGCCACACTATAGGGCAGCCTTCCCTAGCTTGTGCCCTTCAGACGTTTCAGACTACAGCTCTCAGCATTCCTGCCCACTGACCATTCTGTCTGGGCTGCGGTTCAAAATATCTGCGGAAGGCTTTCAGAGACACACAAAAACCTGCCTAATACCAGGTCAGTTTATTTGTCCTTCTGGCTCAGAACGATGTATTCCCAATCTCCTGTTCTTTGGTCCTTTTCACTGAGGGCGGCAGGGCCTGGAGCTGGGACCTCTGCGTGAAAAACCTGTGCTCCCACCACCAAATCACTGCCCGTTCCACACTCCAAGCGGTCCCAACGGAACAGCAGTGCCTTGACTGTACCCGCAGTATTGATGCTAGCAGCGTTTTCTCCGCTTCATCTCTCCCGTAACACTGGAAGCTGTGTGTGTACACTTTGTAGGGATAACCGTACAGCTGCACTTGCAGCATGCTGTCCGACGCTTCAGTACTTTCCTCTGGAATGAAGGATATTTGGGTGGAGGCCCCTCCTAAGTCAAGTGCCCCTGTCGTCTCTGCTCCGTGAGGATGGACCCAGGCACTCCAAATGTTTTTCTAGAAATAAAGAGCGTACGTCCAAAAGATCAGCTGTTGTGGGGATCGATGGTGCCCTCAATCCTTTTTTGCTTAACAGGGCATCCTGAATTAATGCCCAGGGCAATGTAGGAAAACTTGTTCCTGATTGTCTACAGGATTCTTATAGATTAGAACACCCTTTCAAAGATTCAAGCACAACCAAAGATGTATGCAGACTCTGTTAAGCACGGGGTGTGTGGGATAGATCATCTTGCACAGATTGGACCAGAGGCACAACCCCCATCAAGCTATATGGTAAGTTTGCCAAGGTGGGTAGCAACCTAGGCTTGGCTCTGCATTCGTTTATTTTAAGTGAAGTCCTGTACAACTTTAGACAGGAAAAAAGGCCTACAGTTCCAGCATCCCCAGCCAGCTGTGTCTAAACTCACGCAGGATTGCACCCTTGTTACATTTATATCTCACAGTTCTTCAATCATGGACATTAAGGGAAATTATTATTCTGAAGTTAGTTCAAGATCCTAGCTGCTTCTGTACCTGGTAACCACAGTTTCCTAGTATTGACAAAATGGAAAATTAAACTTCCAGTACAATCCTACAGCCACTCGACAGAAATGGGGACTCTGGGCTCTGAGCGCCCACCCCGATCTCCCAACTGGTGCAGACTGAGCCATGCCAGCTGCAGTTCTGGAGTCACAAGCACCACCTCAGAGATGAGTTTTTGAGAGGGAGGGGAAGGAATGTCGAAATCAGCCATCAAAATGTTAGGAGGCGCATGGAAGTGACCGTCACCTCTGCGCCACTCCTGTGGTGCACAGGATGCCTGTAGTTCCTGGCAGGTTACAGGCTGCCTCACTGAACTGCACCCCTCATGGGATATTGCGGCTCGCCAGAAGAAGAGAAAAGAAGAAAAGAAGGAAAAGAAAAGACTGTGTGTCATCATGACTACTGCATCCCTTTGGTTCTAATGGGTCTACTCTAAGTACAATAGATCTGGTTCCAATCTACTGATCTCTCAAAAACAAACATGCACAAATGAGGGAAGGAATAATACGAGGCTGGAAGTGCACAAGGAACCATTTTTAGCCTATGTGCAGGCAGTGCGATGGGGCAGGGTGTTGTTATGCAGAAATCAACACATTTCACTATCTCAGCATCAGGCTACAGTGGACAGAAAGAGACCACTGCAGAATCTTTTCAAACAAACAGCCGTGAAAGGAAAGGAGTGGCTGTTCCCTAGAAATAATGGCAGGCCTATGACACCAAACAGTATGAACTAGAGAACTTCCCTAAAACAGTCTCCCCCTGGTGTCCCCCAGACTCATCCTGGCTGAGGGTGATGGGAGTTGTAGTCAACCCATCTGGAGGACATCAGCTTGGGGAAGTCTGCTTTAAAAGAACAGGGAAAGCTCTACACAGTCTTGTCTTGTTAGGTCATCCAGTCTGTGTGCCATGTAAAGTTCGTTTTGTTTATTACACCTCTGTACCACACAAAAGCTAAAGTTCTCTGGGTAGTTTACAAAAGTCAGAGGAATGCATGATCTCTCCCGTCCTGTCTTCAGGGCAGATATATAAGCAAGAACAAGTAGGAAATGTAAACCATAGAGCTGGCTTTACAAATTTAAGCAGGGGATGCTAGGAGATTTGGTTTTCAAAATATGCCTAGAGTAAGAATTGCCAAAATGTCAGTGCAAGAAAAGGAGCTCTCTTACTACTTGGAAAGATGAATAATATAATTGGCCTCTTAAAAGACCGTGTTTGAGGATGTAATAGAATAGCATCATTTGACAGGACTTTTTATGTCCTAGACTAAACAGGAGATGGTTCTAACTAATGAAGTTTGCAACTTTGTAATTCTGCATGCGATTGTCATAATTTCAGGCTGGTTTTTGTTAATGCATACAGTACTGATATGCTACTGAGCTGTACTGCAATCTCCCCTTGCATACAACAAAGGAGGTTATGCTAATCTAGTGATTTACGAAAAACAACAGTATGTAAGAAAACATGCAGTTTTTTCCACACACCTCCAAGAAATTTCCCTTTAAATAGTTGGCTGTAATCCATCCATACACCCCTTCCGCTTGCCCAGTTATGATTTTAGCACCCCTAAAGTCAAAGGGCTGCGATGTGAAGTAGTTTTGAATGCTCTCAAGGACTTCACTGGCTGCTGATTCATTTTGCGACCTAAGCAATTCACAGAACACAAAATGCTGAGTGTCTGAAAGGAGAAGTATGCCCTTCATCATTTGCCAGATCTAGTGGCTAGAGGAAAAGATGATTATTGTCTGTGTTTAGCTTGGAAGAGCAGCCTTGAATAAGAAATGAGTACAAGAGGGTGTCATACACACAGGTACTTTGTTCTTTTGCTCAAAATTGATGATTCAGTCAAATGTGTGAACTCTCTCCACTGAAGGATATTGTCTTTCCGATAACATCAGATTGTATGAAAGTTTTACCTCTAGTGCTCAGTCTGTGCTGGCTTATTCATACATTATCACACTTGACTAAAGATGAACAGGCATGTATGAATAAGCCCAAGACACACACCCAGCTAGACTAAGAACACAATCCTATGCATGCTCATTTGGAAATGTCACTAAGTTCAGTAGGATTTACTCCTAGATATGGTTATATAGCATTGCAACCTACAAGTCCATATCTACTTCTTATGAGTAAGTTCCACTAAACTCAATAGGACTTATGTCCAAACAGACCACAAATCATTTCCAAGATCCCAAGTTCTTCATATAAACATAGGTTTTGTGTGCACTGTGACCTCATGGGCATCATCTAAAAGATCCAGAATCTAATACTTTGCTTTGTTTGCAAGGAGAACAAGCAGCAAATGTTGGCCATATTACTTATTTGGTAGAGTCCTCACATAGTTTCTGTGCAAAACCATACAAAGAAAAATGCGGTTATTTAACTTGGTGTCCTGCAACAGTAGGGGGTTGGACCCGATGGCCTTCATGGCCCCTTCCAACTCTACTATTTTATGATTCTAAGATTCATGTAGATCACAATTGTTTTGCCATAATGGGTATTAATTATAATTTATATGCACCCAGTGCTGTAGCAAAAAGACACAATTTCCATGTATCAAATTCAATCTACTGCTTTTAAAACAACAATGACATAGCAAACATTTCTTTCAATGGAATAAAAAATAACGAATCCAAACACAAACATAAACTGTTCCTATGTGTTGCAGGCCATTTTTACCACATGGAAAGTTAATCTTTTTTGTTCTTTTGTTTTTGAAAAATCTGTGGATGCACATTTTAATACAATAAGCCTACACATGGCAACAAATGTTGATTATGGCTGCCACACTTTCTTGGCAGCACATAGTACAAAGTGAAGTGATCAATGACTTTGCCCAGGCCCACTCAAGAAAATCAGAAAATCAAATGTGATTCAGGAACACTAAGTCCTGACGTAAATACTTTTTGTTAAGGCCCTCAGTAATCACAGATCAGACCTGAAGTATATACCTGTGTTAAAGTCATCAGTTTAATTCAAGGGATGATTTTATTTTTGAACAATATATGCAAGGAAGATCAAAATACCTCTTCAGTTTATAAAGTTTCTTAGCACACCCATATCTATTAATCTCCATTGACTGATAGGTTTTAAGGCAAGGGGGAAAGTATGTCATAATGAATCATTCTTTGGCTCTGATGCCCTGAATATTGTAACAATGGATAAAGAATTACTTGTCAGGATTTCCAGTGGTTTTCCAACCATACCTGAGAAGTCTCATGCCAGCTGTGGCTCCCAGGTAGACAGGTGTGCTGCTATGTAAGTGAGAAGGAATCTTTTCCTTGACTTTGTTCATACAATCATTGATGGGCTCAGCAATTTCCCGAGGGTTATTTCCATAGCTGGATATCCCAGGCCCTAGGAGAAAGCAATTAAAAGATTTTGGTTTTTGCCAAGATAAGGCAGTTTCGATGTGCTGGTGAAAACAGGACTAAAATCACAAGGACTGCCAACACCTGGCTAATACATGGCAAGCACTGCAGACACCACACGAGCATGGAATAAAAACTGGAAATTACAGTAGCCATGTTAAGTACTACCATAAGGACATATGAAAACTTTATTTGTTCACAGATCACTGCACTTGCACAATTCACAAGGCCAAATGAAAACATGAACGCAATCACATTTTCCCGAAAACGCTTGTGCATTCCTCAACTTGCAATCATGATGTTATGGTTGGCCCACTCAGTCAGACCATGCTGATTCCATCTTACCCAGGTCCAGGAGACAGAAGCCTCCCTTTTCCAATGCAGATGGCCTTGCCCAAGTCATCTGTAGGCCAAGTGCTACTGCTTAGCCACCTGTTCACAAGCAAGCTCTCCAGTGACCTGAACAGTAAGTATCTTCTACCATCCATCTCAGAGCAGGGGATTTTTATTGCATTACATAATCTAATGTAATGTGATGATGAGCCTTTACCAGACAGACAAAACAACAAAGATTCCTCTGAAATCTGCACCCATGCAACCAGGAGAAGGATTAGAGCAGATGTACTCCACTGAGAAAGCAAAGGCTTTTGGGAAGGAGAGGGTCCAGCTGTTCCAGCAGGGACAGGAAATAAGTGAGCTTGAGACTGGCATGAGGAGAGGTCACCCATGTTTTCTCCAGGACAGATGCCCAAGTTCAGTTTTCCCCAACTGGAGAGTGGGGAGGTGACCTGAGAACCTTGCTGAGAGTATAGCGGATCTTCAAGGAACCAGGGAGGCAGCTTAGTGCAGGGCTGTGCTTAGTTAAACAGTTTCCCCTTGTGCTTCTGCACAATTTGCTACTTTAAACTTACTGTTTTGAGCCCAGAATCTAATCAAAGTTTTTCCCTTCTATACTTCTTCCTGGATTCTTAACAAAACTGTTATGTTGCTTTCACCAAAGCTTGTGTGCTTTGGGAATGAAAGGGGAACAGTCACAAGAGATGCACATGCTTTGGGATCATGCAATGGTAGTAACAGCTGGTCCTAGTGGGCACATTGTACACCAGATCTCTGCAGGCACCAGGTCACCACACACATCTGAAAAATGTGTGCTCTTCTGGAAAATACGCACTTAAAAATATGCATTTCAGGTTTTAGCAATGGAACACATCACACACTTTTGAAAAAATGTACACAGAAATGCATGCTTTCCCCTTTTAGATACAAAGGGGGGAAAGGGTCGGGAATGACTGTGGCAGTGAGTTGAACCAAGTTTCAAAGAGGAGTTTGAAGAATCTCATAAAGTTGAGCATCCCAGATTTACTGCCCCTGTCCAGAGGTAAGTGTCCTCAGGCTATACTCCACATAAGGCCACTTAGAAAAGTGGTATATAGTTAAAGCAAGTGTTATTTTTTGAAGGTTCTTTGAGAAGTGATGGAGATGAGGGAAGAAGCACTCAAAATCTAGTTGAAGCTGAGAGAGCACAAAGTCAGCAGAGGACAAAATGTTGAGGCTTTTTAAGTGAAAGATGAAGACCAGGATAGAAGGAAAGACAGTATAGTGCTTGCTTGGACCTCTACAGAAAGGAAATTCTCTTCCCCCATCACCTTCCTCTGGCTCAATGGGCAGCCAGTCAATGAAGCACAGTCCACATGTGATTGGCTCAAACAAATGAAGACCTAGCCTCTAGAAATCAGTTCAGAAGAGAAGGAAGTGGCACTGCCAGGAAAACCAGGGCCAGCATCAAGGGTAGACATGGCCGGGACGGCACAATGGCAAGAGTCCCTGGAGTTGCTCCTCCCTGTATTACAACCTGCTGGTTCTGCTGCTTCTTGCTCAGGTGAGAACAGGCGGCAGCAGATGCCTCTGCCTACTTGCTCACTCTTCAGGTGCCAAGCAAGCGATAGCAGTGATGAGAAAGAGAGCGAGCAACTAGTGGCCATTGGGTGGATGTGTAGACTCAGTGAGGGAGGGGACCCAAGGAATGTCAGGAGCTTGGCCTTCCCTTTTTGCCCTTGGACTCCAAACCACCAGGCAGTGTCTTTGCAAAGCAGATCTTCGTCGGCACTTTGCAGCTGCAACACAAAGCAACTCTAAAAGCCCTCTTTGGGAGCTCAGCCTCTGCTCATGTCAAGGAAGACTGTTGAACCCAAGCTAGGGACTTCTGCCCAGTGCCCTTCCCTTTTGGGAACTCTGGGGCTCCAGTCTCAGGGTGGCTCCTGCTGCTATAGGGTGAGATCAACACAAACCCACCAATGAGGTAGCTCATCCCTTCTGGTGCCTCAAACAGAGGCCTGTCCTCTATAAAACAGAAAACTAGGTCCTTCTATGTTGTGGAGCTTCTCTCTTCAGCATGCTCTCCCAATACTAAGTCTACTACCTTTTTGGTGGCACGCTTTTTATTTACCCAGGGTTTTAGTAATTATTCTGACTTCATTCTGATGTTATTTTTTATTTATGCTGCAGTGTCTGAATATTTTAAAAACTGACCATTGTTTTAGGGCATGAATCCTGTGAGGTGCACTCCTGATGTTCATAAGCCCCCAAACATAGAGGTTGAGTTTCTGATCTTTGAGAGGACATGGTGATTCAGCTAAGATAACAAACAATGGTGAACACCCCATAGTTCAAAGCCTTGGCACTTTTCATTGGTTGTTCATGCCTAACAAGCCATCATTGTTTAGGACAGCTGGGTTCAGACAGCACGATAACCCACATTTGAACAACAACTGAAAACCACAATTCACACTTAACCCATATGCAACCTCTAAGTGTTGATCACCCTGTTGTGTGGACCCTGTGGGTGTCATTTATGCCCAAAGAAACTGATGCAGCAGGATACTGAATGATTTTCCCTGCATGCTAATTTGTTTTTGTTTGTAATCCCACAGAGACGTACTTGGCAATTCTTGCACAATTTCTGTCATGGTGAGATGTGTGAACTTCCCACACATTTTGAAATGCCAAATCTGTTCTTGAGTTGCAGCTATTAAAGGCGGTGGACACCTCTTCGGATCCAAATTGGCAGTTCCTTTTCTCATGTGCCAGACATGTGCTGAACGTGACTCTGACACAGAAAGAGCCAATTCCCCTCCTAGCACCCAGCCAAATGCTCAGTTCTTGGCATTTCTTTGATATCACCCATTATCTGCACGTTTCCATTCCTTCCTCACCTTTCACATTGCACTTGAAGGTCTGACTTACTACTCCTGTATTGTTTTCTTTTTCCGCCGGCCATTCATAGACATAGGCTGTTGTTCGAGATGATCCAGCATCAAGCACTATTCCATACTGGAGAGGGAAAAGGCAACAGGTCACAATCCAAAAGTGATCTTTTCAGAAACAATGCAAGGCAGGAGGCTGGAAAGCAAAGTGTTAGAAAAGCAACCTAGGATTGAAAAAGGCACTTGGCTCTTTGTCCTTGTCCATTGTTTCTTTTGATGAATTTGAACTTTCTGGCCAGGCCTGCCATTCGATGAAGTGAGGTGGCCATCTCAGGTAGCCAATGCTGTCCTTGCCTCTGAGCTTCACAGCCATCCCCATCCTCCTGAGCTGCTGTTAGTGAGGCTTGCTTCTTACTAACCTAGCCAGGCTGTCTCACATCGTTTCCTTCCCCCCGTGCATCATGGATGGCCCTTCCATCGGGAAAGGAGATGGAGAGGCAAGCAGCTCAGGCCTTGCACACCACCGAGCACTGCACAAATGCATGTTTGGCTGTGCTCTGCTCCTGCTGATGTTGCTGCTGCCACTCCCTTTCTCTCTGAGTGGGTGGTGAGCAGCTGTCCGGCGGATGGGTGAGCGAACAGGGGCAGAGGTGTAGCAGGACAGAGCTGCGCACACCATGCAACCCGTCCACCTCAAGCCCAGTGGTGGACACTGTCCCATTACCAGAGTTGAACTACCATCCAACCATCACTCTATTATTATTATTATTATTATTATTATTATTATTATTATTAGAACATTTCTATGCCATTTCTATGCCACCCCTTGCCGAAGCCTCAGGGCGGCTTACAACACAATAAAATACAATAAAATACAAAAATAACAATATAAAATTAAAATTAACAATATAAAATAAATAAAAAATATAAAATATAAAAGAAGTCGCCCTGGCCAGATAAATAAGCAAATATTGTTAACTCTAACTGGCTTCTGTTTGTGGAATGGGCATCTACCTGTCAGACAGTAAAACGTTCAGGCCGTAAAAATTCCTGGGCTTGCCCTGTATCTTCCTTATCAAAAACTGCTCGTAAATGTTCTCTCTGTGTTTCAGAGCATGGTTTGCCATGCCAAGGTGGGGCAGGCAGACACGGCTGCTGGACAAAAGCAGCTTTAATGCCTCTTGGTGCTCATGGAACAAGTTTTACAGCGCCTTTGATCCTGGCCACAGATGACTTGATGAAATCAGATGGCTCTGTGGAGCATCAGCTCTCTGTCTTGCACAAAGGCAAGTGCGAGAGTGATCTCATGCCTCAGACTGAGCCTAGCATAGGCAGGAAAGAAATCAGTGTGAGAGCACATACATAGAAACTGAGGAAATCATTCTTATTTTTCCTTAGTGTCGCATCCATACAATCTAATCCAATTAATTTGGTGACAGATTTAAGGCTACTATTCTAAAGAGGGTTATAAGGGAGCAAGGGAACTTCTAAGTAAACTTGTTTAGGGTTACACCACCAGAGACTTTGGCTACTGTGGATTTCAAGGTATTATATGCTTAGCCAGAATTAATAGGGGATGGTGGTGGTTGCTTTTAAGCAAGCAAGCAACTGGGAGTGGGGCATGGAACCAGCTTGGCAAGGAGAGGAAGGAAGAAGGAATTTATTCCTCTCCAAGGCTATCACGCCCTGTCCTCCTCACAGCTGTTACTTTGATCTGGATGATGGTTGCCTTCACCAAACGTGGTGGGTCAATGAACATGAAGTCATTTACAAGGAGCTTCAGCAATCCTAACAGTTCTCCATTGGCCACATATGAGAGAGTGACGTGGAAATCCAGTCCTTAAAAGAGAAGCAGACTGGTATTGCAAGGAGGCAGTCCCATGAATGAACAGAATTATCCCACATTTGGAGGAAACCCCAAAGGGCCACTTTCCTGAAGCACCCCCTGAGGTCTTTCCACCATGTTGGAATTTAATGTGATTATTTTGACAGAGCTGAGCATACTTTAGCCAGTCACTCATCTCAAACACTCAAACATTTCCCCTACTTGATTCTTCATCCTTAGAATCAATAGGCAGAAGGGTAATTCCATCAACATGTTCTAACTGGCAGGGTAAGCAGATAATTACACCCATCAAGTCTAAATCCAGCCTTGAGGAAAATATGCAGAGTCAAGGTAAGTACCTGAGGTGCTTTCAACAGAACCTTTAAGATGTTGCAGGTGGGCAGATGTCCACCTTCAGACATGTATCTCTCCAGAGAGCTCCTCGGTAATGACCTAACCCTTTGCCTAATTACAAACCTCCACTGTGGCAAAGAAAGGAGCATGTCTTGCTTGGTATTTTATGCTCAGATGACCAAACTTTTTTTTTTAGTGGGGAGGGAACAGAGCCTTTGACTGAGGTAGCAGCAACCCAACAGCTCACTTTACACACTACATTCTTCCTGCCCAATGAGGATCACCTCAGGTTTCATGCAGTCTCTCTTTTTGGGAGGAAGCAAAGTGTACAAATGGATATACATCATTTAAGTAGTGAGGCCACTGTTGTAGCAGACTCAAAACATTGAGGACACCAGCAGATCTCTGAAGACAGAAGACTGGCTGGCCCTTGTTTTCACTATGAAGCTATTATGAAGTATAGTGTGTATGTGTGTCTATCTGTGAGGGAGGGGGGAGGGGGGAGGGGGAAAGAGATTTATATAGGAAAGAATAGAAAATGTGTTTGCATAAACAATCAAAATATTAGGGGATGGAAAGTAGATAAGGCCACTTGAAGCATGGGGGAGGCAATACTGAATCCAGAGACAGTATGGGGGTCAAATTCAGCCCTCTAGAGCTCTTCAGAAGACTCCCCCCCCCCCAACTTCTAATCATCTGGCCATTATCAGATTTTGTGCCATTTTTTCCCATTTAGGAAAGGTTGAAATGCTTCTTCTGTACAAATTCCAACAATGTGATAGTCCACACTTAAGGGCTGAGTATGGGGTGAGTCTGGATTGTCACTGAACATGGGTTGTTGTGAATGTAGGTCATTAAGCTGTTTGAACCCAGCCTTGTAGTAGGGTTCAGACAACACAATAACCTGTGTTTCAGTTCACTACAACCTATCCTTGAGTGTGGGTTATTATGTTATCTAAACCCAGCCCTTGATAGTGGCAATGAGAGCTTTAAGCTGGAATATGCATTTTTGGTATTTGGGGCTCTGTCCCTTTTGCCTTTGCCCCCATCCACCTCTGGAATGCATCGTCTGAGAGCTTCCCCAAACCCAAATTCAGCTGTTAAACAGAAAGAGGATCAAACCCCTTGCTGCACATGTATCTTCTGAGGTGGTGTGAGCAGCTTAGCAAAAACACCGGGAAAACATGCCTCCATTCCTGTCGCACACTCTACATAGCCAAATGCACATCAGCTTTGGGCCACAGCCTGATGCTCTTTCAGGGTGACACTTTCAGGGATGCTTGTTCCATATTGTATTTTTATGTTCACATGGGGTGGGCAGACCACTATGAAGCCCCATCCCTGATGTCCTGCTCAGCTACCCTTTAGCAGGCATAGCCCACATCTCAATAGCCAGAAGCGTGAGAAGAAAGGATGCTCTTCACAAAAGAGTGAGCAGTGTAATTTTGGAATAAGTATAGCCCTACCCACCAGGACCACAGCTGGGGCTGAAGTACTGACTGCCGCAGTTAGACTGGGAATTAACAAGCACAAGAGCATATATGGAAAGGGGAACAGAAGATTTTACTTTCTTCTCCAGGGAGGACAGGGGGGGAAGAAGCAGTATGTCAGAGCAGCAGGCTAAGCATACCCAGTGGGGGATGAAGGCTGGGGTAGCTTTCCAGCCTGATCTCCCTCCAGCCAGCATGCCCAAAGCCCAGGAATGCTGAGACACATCCAACACATCTGGGGAAGACTGATCTTGTATGTCAGGAAGGCACAGTCACATAAACCTAGTTTGGATTATGCCCTTCCTTCACATGTGGTGACAGAGAGTGCACCTTACCTTCATAAGATGAGTGCAGGAATGTTACACACACATCCTGGGCTCATGTGTACGCCCACACATGGATGTTTGGTGGTGGAACACTTATGCCGTGGAGGGGTACACAATCTGTCATATTACCCTGGATTCAGTATTGCCTGAACCTGCCCATGTTATCTGAGAAGTCCTGCTCTAATCCAAAATGTAAGACATTGAGGCTTGGATTATCCTATGCAATCTACCCCAAAAGATCTTTCTACAATAATGCTGGTGATTAACTTCTAGAAAGAGAGGAATTGAGGCTCAGGTAGGCATTCTGCTCCACCAGCACCACAAATAGAGTATTTGATGCCAGATACTGTAGACTGTTGATAAGAAGCATTTTTTGCATGCTTAGAAACACTTTATCATTGGGTGAAGAATGGCAAAAATTAAGCAACCATTCCTCATATTCTTTGCACTTGCCTTCAGACCTGGAGAAAGGACCTCTTTCTGATTCACCTGGACAAGAGTAATAGTTATAATAATTGCAATGCTTAAAAGCAGAAGGATGAAGGTGACAATAGTTGGCATTTTGAACAGTAACCGGAAACCTGAAATCAAGAAATAGAAAAAGATCTTATAATTTAATGAACATTAAAGGAATAATTTCATTATCTTTTATTCTAACTCAAGGAATCCAAATTCTTCATTTGCATGGACAAGGAAGATAGAATCCTTTTGATAATCTATATAAGTGGATGGAGAAACATCCTTTAGGATAGTCTACAGAGCTCCTATGGAAATCTTCACCTATTGAAAACAGCCAGTTTGCAGATGCCTTTTCCCCCAACAGAGCTTCTGTGCCTTTCACAACTACATGATGGGTAGACATTTAACAGGTAGATGCTATGAGGGGGAACATATAATGAGGAGCATCTCCCTTCCTGTGTTTCCACTGCCTTGCCATGCAGCTGTCTAGATGCAAGAACCAACATAAAGATAACAACGCAGGGATGTGCATCGCTTCATGACTTAACACTTGATGATTGATTCCCAGCTCAAGCTGTTGAATCAGGACTACAGCTAAGCTATGTGAAATGATGTGGAAGTTTTGACTGCAGTGTGAATGTCACTCCACATCCATTAAGTTCTTCCACAGTTGCTGTGAAAATAAATGATTGTAGAGCACCTGCACATTGAATGTGTATAAAATAACTAAAGGGGGCTAAAATCTTGCTAATCCTTTGTAAAGTAGAAGATGAGTAACACAGGATAGCCTTTAGGATGCTCCATTCTTCACTATGACCATAGGCTGCCTTGTTGTGGAATGACTGCAGGTTACCAGACCTCTTGATTAGATTCCCAAGAGGAAAGAGAACACAGAAGCGGATATAATAGACTTCAGGCGCACAGCCTCACAGATTAAAGCCCAGAGTGGACAACCTGGGGCCCTCCAGATACTCTGACCTACCACTTCCATAAGGATGGGAGGCATGGACCAAAACATTTGGAGGGCCACAAATTGCTCACCCCTGGATTATATGGACCTGTGGAAGCTTGTGGAGTATGCTGACCATAACCCTCAATTCCTTTTGCAAAATGTGAGAAGGAATTCCTGCGTTCACCCCACTGGTTGTGGAGGCATATGCTGGCACTGGCTAAAGCAGACTTGTAGGAAAGAATGAGAACAGCTTTCCCCACAACATCCCTTTCTGAACTTGTTCCCTAGGAGCAGGGCTGAACCTCAAAGCCTTACTCCCAATGCCATCAGACTGGCACATCTCCTGCCCATGTGATTGCTCTGTTGGGGATTCAGCCCCCAGCAAATAGGGCTTGCTCCATAAAGAGAGAGATGCAGAGCAACTTTCCACTACTGCTCCATCATCCCTGCCCCAGTCTTAATCGTGATTCTTCTCAGATTTAAATATTTTTCAGTGCAATGCTATGAGTTAAGGCTGTGTTCTGCTTTAGTCATTTCCTAAACCTGAAGAGGAAAACTGCATCATGCTCACCATCTGTATCACCTCAGTAAAGTATCACCAATTATGGCCACTGAGAAGAACTGGATGTGGTGTCAAAGGCTAACACACGCTGCTCGACATCGGCATTTCGAAGAGAGGGTCCATTTCTGATGAGCCTACCTGGTGAACTTGAGGCAAATGGAACACACACCCACTTTGTGCACCTCATTGAGATACAAGACACACTTCTTTGCATCCGTCAGTGATGGGGATTTTCCACCTGCAAGTGCGGCAATCTTTGAAGGAGCTGCATGGTGCCATCCAAGGCTGGCAAGTCCAGATGGTTGGGTCTATGAGCGAAAGTTGCCCCGAGGAGAAATTCTGGCTGTGCCAAAGAGCTGAAGTGGTGAATGACTATGAAGACACAACAAAGAAAAAGAAAACTAACTATGGGAAGCAATTTTCCAAAGGATGTTTTTAAAGTCCCCAAAACTCTAAAGCAGAGAATATTCCTAAGAGGCATTGCTCAGAATTGAGAAGGAAGGTGTCTGCCAACATGGATGGGCAACTAGTGCTCCACTAGGTATTTTGGCCTACAGCTGCCACCATCCTTTCGGGCCAGCTATGCTGGCTCATGCTGATTGCAACTGGAAGCCAAAACACCTGGATGTCTGCAAGCTGCCCACCCCATGCTAAAACCCGATGACTTCCAGATGTGCTGGTCTTGAAATCCTAGGAGAAAAGCAGAACATGCATGTTTTTAAAAAGTGTAATCCTATATACATATATAGGATTTCCTACATAAACAAGGAAAAAAACCTACAACTACTACCATGCCCCAGCCAGCATGTAAGCCTTTTTCTGCCTAAATATGCATAGGATTGCATTCTAAGATAACTCATTTTAAAGCAGTTATACCCCCACCTTTAGTCCTGAGATTTTGGGTCCAATACATCCAGAAAGCAACAAGGCTGGGGAAGGACGTGCTAGGAGATCCTGAAATGCTGCTCTGCATAAGCATAAAATTTGTGGGTGTGAGGCCATGCACAGAAAAACCATAGGAGGAGGAAGACCAATTAGTAAATTCCTCACTACAGCTTTGTGCACACAGAACAACACAAAGGCAATTCTCAGCGGGGGTGGGGAACCTGTAGCATGTTCTTGCTATTTTAGATTGCAAAACAAGACTACATATTTGAGGAAAAAACAAATTAGGTTTTGACTTGTAGACAAGAGGGGAAATGAACTGGTGTAATACTGGTAACACTTATGCAAGACTTGGCAATTTTGTGCCAGAGATACATGTTTATCCACTTAAAACATACCTTTTCGAAAGAAAAAAAAGTTGTCTGCAAAATACAGGCCTCTGAGTGGCATCTTAGGATTCAGGAGAATCAAGTTTAGTGCCTTGTTCTGCTTCTGAATGATTCATCATCTCATCACAATTTAGTGGAAATAAAATTAAAAACACTTCCTTACCTGAAAGACTTGTTATGTAATGGTTGCATTAAAATATGGAAGGTATTCAGATACTATGAGTATACCAACGTTACCTTTAACTAGCACAGGAGGGATTCTTCACTCATTCTTCAATTGTCTAGCTATCTTCAGTGGGTATACTTAGGAGTAGCTTTCAGGGTATTCAAAAATTATAGTCCATTGTTCATGTAAGATGGCATAAGTGTTTTTAGGATGATTCCCCCCGCTCCAAAAACTGACATGTGATAATGTGCTACTCAAGGTATTTTTTGATTACACTCTTGGATCATGTCATTTGTTTATATTGTTCTAGAACAGCCTATCTAAAACTTGTTGCCTTCCAGATATTTAGGGTTACATCTTCAGTCAACCCTGACCATAGGCTACAAAGGCAGGGGCTGATGGGAGTTCTAGCCCAAAACATCTGGAAGACACCAAGTCGGGAAGCCTTCCCCAGAAAGAACCATGTACACCCATGATGTTAAATGTACCAAATAACAAAGAGTAATGTAAGAATAGACCCTTTATATGTTAGAAGAAAGGGCACACATCAAAAAAAACAAACTTTGGCCCAGCCTTTTAAAAATGAACTTCACAGCATGCAAATACATCTTCCTTATAACATTTGTCATTGCATCTAGCATCATCTGTCAACTGTAATTTCATCATAGCAGTCCAGGCCCAGTCAACAAATCTTTTGGCATAAACACTCCTAATGTTATATCAGCTGAATATTTTAATTGCAGGCTAATTGGATGATGGGAGGTTCAGGACACGGGAATTAAACAGGACATAATTGTATCCAAGCAAGATCATACGCTCAACAACATCACTCCTTTCAGTGGAAAAGAGAGCACCACTTACTCCATTCACAGGGCAATCCTATACATGTCTATTCCGAAGTAGCTCCCTTTGAGTTCAGCAGTAACTTAGTAACACTGAAATCTCATGGAAGGTGTTGGCATAGTGCTAGAAGTGAGCATGGCACAATATTTTTTCCCTGGTTCCATGACCGCGAACAGAATTCTCCTCAACTCAGATGACTAACCTGATCTATCCTAAGGATGGAGAACAACATTTGAAAACCTTAACAGTAACCAACTGAAAATATAAATACTTTCTAAGATTAAAAATACCCTGTATCAGCTGATTCTAGCCACCAAAGACTATCCCAGAGAAGGAGGTTTCCTCAACACAATCAAATGGAAATTTGCACATCTTATTTTGCCCCTGCAACTAAAGGGCCAGGCGAGATGCTTCTGTAAACCTTTGAAAGCCAATATTTTGCAGTGGTTAAGTGTGCAGGACTGGGTCCTAGTCTCCACTCAGCCATAGAGCTCAGTGGGTGATTTGGGTCATTCACAGACTTTCAACCCTACTCAGAGGGTTGTTGTTGTGAAGATAAAATTGAGAGGTGCAGTAGAATGATGTGTGTCACCTTGGGTTCCTTAAAAGGAAAAAGGGTGGGATAGAAATATAATAAATAACCTGAAAGAGAGTTAGTTCTTTTTGGACATCCATGACCAAATACAACACACAAGCAACTACAGGCACAATCCTAAGCATATTTAAACAGAAGTCCTACAACTCTGCACATTCCCCATGCTGCCTAGGGCATGCTGCAAGTTGAAGGACCATTTCTATCTAAGCATACTCACAATTGCAGTATTTTATTCAAAGCTTCTCAAGTATGGACTTAAGGACATCTTCAGTGGCTGGGCATGCACACAAGAATGTTTCTTTGTCTTCACTGGATGAACACTGGTGAATTAAGAATTCACAAGAATTAAGAACACTGAAGACTAGGATAAGCACAAAACCGCTACAGCTCCATTTTTAAAAATCGCAAACAACAGTTGTATTTTATTATTAGAGTAATAGCAAACTGGTAGACGGGGTAAGGTAAACACATTTGACTCTCACATCCTAATTTAGTTACATGTAATAGACCACACAGGATTATGTGTTTGCAATAGCTCACTGAAATGGAAGAGAGCCGCTTGCTATGAAGTCAGCTCAGCAACTACCCCTCTTTATGGCACCAAAAACAGTTGATCAATCAGCCACATTAAATATGCATTTCCTCAATGAAAAGGCATGTAACACCCAGTAAAATGCGCCTTGGCGTGTTGCCATGCCGCTCCACTGAATGCCCTAACCTGTTTGTTCCCAGGACTGACAGGACAACACAGTAAACACCTCTTTTCGTTCAAACCACACAGCGGGATAAATGCACATCCAACATGAGATTTATTTAGAACAAACAGTGCAAGTAATAAGAGATAGCTGCTGGCTTCAGAACATTTCTGAGCCTGCAAAGGACTTAGGGACCACAAACAGTTTCTAGAAAAGAGGAGGAAGCCGAAGCAGTGAGTGCTTTACAAATGCTTTGAAACGGAGAGGCATGGCGACAGAGTGTTCAATTTACAGTTCAACAGAATGCAAATAAGATTCCTCAGCCAGAAATTAATGAGACCTGGTCCAGGCATGCCCTAGGCTTGGGTGCTAGAAGGGCCTTCATTTGGAGATGGCTTGCAGAAGGACATTCAGAAATGGTAATGCCTTCACACAGAACATTAACCTATCAGACAGAAAGGTGCCCTGCTCTACCAGTTTTGCATGCGCAGGCAGGTTTTAATTCTTTTGTTTAACTTGGGGGAACAATAACACACGATGTTCCCACCTGTTGTTAGAACAGGTACAACCCATTTTGCCATCCATTCTACCAACAGATGCAGGCCATCCCTTTGCAGCATATGCATATGCAGAGATACAAGACACAGAAGACCTACATGAGATCACAGAACCCCCACTAATTTCCCAAGCACCCATTCTCAGTTTTAGTTTTGTCCTTTGACACACATAGCCAAGTACAAATATATGCAACTCGCAACTCGTCAAGTATGAAGTGAGCACCTGTTCATGTCAAAGCCCACACACATGCCTAAAAACTACCCCAGAGCACAAACCAATCCTCAAATCCTAGGGTGTTTGTGTTTGTTTTTTCTAAAACATATGCAAAATGTTGCTGACAGAGGCCTTTTCTGTTAAAAAGAGGTGTGTGCATTTTGTACTTGGATATCTGTATCCAAAGTCACAATCTTATGTTTCCATTTAGCCCTTGTTTTTTCTAACAGAGGGAAAGAAAGAGAAGCATCCGGAAACCAACAACATGCAGTGAGACAGTGAGTAATACTGTGTGTCGTGAGTGTGTCAGAGAGAAAGAGAGAGAAGCAGGAAAAATATTGAGGTTTTCTGTATGAAATGAGAGGATGGGTGCGGACATTCACATGTAGAGAAACCAAATTCAGAGTCAGAGAATTGGGCAATACCTTTATTAGGGCCAAGCAAGATTATTCAAAACTGCAAGCTGTAGAGTTCTTTCTAGAGAACTCTTCACCTGACTACATGGTACAAAAAGGAGAGAATAGGGAAGAAACAGATCCAGACATTTGGCACATGTTTTAAGTGTGCACTTTTTTGTGGAATTCAGGCTGCTTGTAATGAAAGTATTACCCAACTGTGACCCAGAAGGTGCATGCACCTGTACGAGCATTTATATTCTCCTGAGCTAGCAGAGCTCTCTTTGGGGTTTTGGTTAGTTGGTTGTTTTATAAAAGCAAAGTGTGTGTCTATCTAAGACATGAACAAGACCCAATTTTGCATACTGTAGAAACTCTTTAGATGAGAGAAAGAGAAGTATGTGATAGAAGAGGGAACATGCCAGAAAGTCTATTATGTGCATCTGAAAGAGAGAGCACTTATCATGGTGCCCATGTGCATGTGTGCAAGTGGGCACAAGAGATATCCAGGTTGTGTGTGGGCGAGAGAGGGTGCACAAGTAGAGGTGCACACACATATGCAATAGCTTAGGTGTATACTGGACAGCTTGGAGCATCTTCAGTGAAGCACTAGAACCTGAACATCCTTTTAGGATGCAAAGTGAATGCTCCCAAGCAGAGGTCTTCTCACACACGCAAAATATGAAGTTCCCTATTTAAAATGCATGCACACAACACATCCCTAGTTATTATCTGGTGCCATCTCTAGACACAATTTCTAAAACACAGTATCTTGCTAAAGACAAATCCTAAAAGCATAGCTCGCCGTACTGAAAAAAAGCAAGAGATGAAGATCAGCTAAAGCACACACATGTCCAATGTCCTAAACAGCTTTCATTATGGACCATTTCCTCTATCTTGTTTTTTAAATAGCCAAGGATCGATCAAACTAAGCAGCTTTTTCTTGTTATGGTGCAGGTCTCTGTCCGTGCAGGCTCTAACAAAAGCAAGCCATGCGCCCATTTGGCAAGTGGGGGGCTTCACCCACAGCCACCAACACCAGTGTCCCTTCCGGGAGCCCACGCCACTCCCGCCCACCAGCAACTCTCGGCCCTCGCGCTCCACGGATGCCTCAAGCCAGCGATCCCCCCCGCCCCGCAGAGCCAGACGCAGCGCTCTCCGAAGGCACTCCCACAGTACACCCCCGCGGTGCAGGCAACGCACACCCTTCACCTCGCCGAGCCGGCCCCTGGCACGCGCCGCCGGGCGAGCGATCGGGAGCCGGAGGAGCCGAGCAGCGCCCCTTCTCTCCGGGGGCGCCCAGGCGGCGCCGGTGCCTGCCACCTTCTGCCGCAGCGGCTGTCAGGATGCTGTCACAGTCGGGCAGGGCAGGGCAGGGAGGGCTCCGCCGGATTGCGCTCCTGTCTTGCGCGGGGCGCGCGGGGGGAGAGGCGCTGTTCAGACGCGGGGCGCATCATCCTCATCGCCCAGAGCCAGGAATGCACCGGGGAGGTGGCAAGCAGGGGGCGGGAGATGACGAACTGAGCCGTGTCTCCCCCCACCCCTCACCGCACAGCCGCTCTCCCTCCCGCGCTCTCCTGCTACATACGAGTCCGCCCCGCCGGCCCCTCCTCTCCGCCGCTTCCCGAGGCTGGCGCTGCCGTCGGCGGAGGGGCGCGGAGGACGGGGGCCTGCGCCGGTGGCTCGCCCGCAGACGAGAGCGGGGATGCCCGATCGCCTCCGCGATCTTTCCCGGAGGAAAGGGCCGCAGGCCTCGAAGCGGGGACGCTCCGCCGGGCTCTGCGGCACGGGGACGCGTGCGCGCCGCCTCTCCAGCGCTGGAGCCCCCACCCAGCCTCCCCTGTCTCGGGAGAGGTTGCCGGCTTCCTGGCGATCGCCCCAGCGCACGGACAGCCGCCCTCCGCCTTTGGCCGCCTTTGCGGTTGTGAGAAGCCGGCCGCGGTTTGGGCTGGGCTCCCGTGCGCGCTTGGCTGACCGCACGCCCCACGGAACCCCCTGGGACAGACTTCCGGGAGCGCGTACGCGACAGCCTCCTCCGCCCTGGTGCCCTCCAGATGTTGGACTGCAACTCCCACCATCCCCGTCCAGCTGGGCGTTGTAGTCCAAGGCATCTGAAGGTCACGGGGGGGGGTTGGTTCAATGAGCTGGAGTATGAGACAGTCATCCCTATGGGTTGAACTCATCGTTAGTCTTACTTACAGTAGATCCATTGAAATCAATGAAACTATGTTGAAGGAATGCCGAATACGAATCTTGGATTCATTTTCCAAGTGACACTGTGCCCGTGTGAAGGTACCAAATGACCCAATGGTGAAGACAGGCACTACGGTAGAGTCCTCATGGGAATGTTCCAGTCCTGGATTGTGGGGAAGCTTCTACCTGGAAGCCTGCCTGTATGAGAAACAGAACTATTTAGGGTGCAATCTTATGTGTGTTTAGACCGAAAGAAGGCCTACACTCCCCAACATTCCCCAGGGGTGCAGTTGTACCGAAACATACTGTAATTAAAAACAATTTAAGGATGACAGGCAATATAAACTATAGTTTGAATACAGCAAACAAATTAAGAGCTTTTTAAACCTGGCCAGACCCAAATCCATGGTTTTTAAAAGAACTGTTTTGACTAGCTTCCTAAATCTGATACATGAGCAAGTCAGGTCAGGCACTTTGGAAGGTGGATCCTTTAGGAAGATGTGACACTGCAGAGGAAGCCCCATAACAATCTTATTTTTTCAGTGAAGGACATTAAAGATGGGCTTCACTGGGTAAGTCTAAAGGAACAAGGGAACTCTAATCATATTGGGGGGGGGGGGGAATGACCCAAATTGTTTAGCACTGATGTATTGCAATCCTATTCATGTCTACTCAGTAGTAAACTTCACTGAATTCAATAGAATTTACTGCAGGTGAATATAAGATTACAGTCTAAGCATTAAAACAAACAAGCAAATCCCCCTGCACCTTCAGTTGTGCCTAGAAGCTAATTGTTAATCAGTGCAATACTTTCAAGTGTAGGAAGATTTACCCTTCGCAGGCATATATTTACCCTACATATAACCTTCATGATGGACATTCATGATGGACACTTTTAAACAAGTGTCCTGCACTCCTGAGGTGACATGATCCTGCAGTGTAAACAGTAGACTCAATCAACTTGTGTTGGGTTCACATGACACACTAAACCATATGGGTTTATCAGGTGGGTTGATATACCCAGGTGATTTAAAATGTTATCCAAATTTGCTATGGCTTATTTGGGGTGGTTTATAAACCCGACTGCTGGTTTATAAGCCACCCCAAAAAGTCATGTCTTGCACTAGGGTTTATACACCACCCCTAGGCATAAAGTGAACCTAGATGGCACCTTAAGTCCAGGGATGGACAGACAGAACTGCTTGCAAGAATGGCAAAAAAGGGTCAAGAGACTGGACAAGTGCTGGTGACAACCGTCCTAAAGTGCCTAAGCAGCTCTTGGGGCACTGTCAGAGGCTCCCTGGGCCACTGCAACTGTAAGCCACAAGGACTGCCGGCCGTCACATGGAACCATCTGTGTCCTGCTTGGCCTCTCCAAAGCAAGCTGAGCTGAACATGCTTATTCTCCACCATCACCTGGTGCTGCTACCAGTCATGAGTAAGCTGAGATGACGGCTGCTCACCCACTCTCGCCCGACAGTGGGCATACCATGGAAGGATCAAGCCGGAGGCCATTGCTACCATTAAAAAGCCAAAACAAAACTGTTAGTGGCACAGGGCCAGGGTGGTGCAGCAGTGTTGGACCCTGACTTGGGAGATTTGGGTTCTAGCCCCCACTTGGCCATGAAGTTCACTGGGTGATTTTGGGCCAATCCTTGACTCGCCGCCAAATGACAAGATTGTCGTGAGGATAACATGGAGAGAAGAACCTTCTGGGTTAACTTGGGTTACTTGCAAGAGGAAGAAGGTTGGGATATAAATATAATAATGCCGATAATAATACATGCGTGCATACTAGTATAAAATGAGCAGTGATCAGGTTTTGAATGCCTGCATGCCGACTTATGGCTGGACAGAAATGCCATCTGGTCAATCAACCACTGTGTCCTGACATCTGTCTTCTCAGTCCCTTTCCTCCTTTTTATATTATTTTCCTGGAAATGGGAAGAATGAAATGAATGTCAGACATACACGCACGTTCCTATTATTTCTGAAAAACCCAGTAGCAATTGGGAAATGCAAAACTGTTGCTAAGCAACCGTCCCTTGTGCTTTCTCCACTTTTCCCAAGAACTCTTTCCCACATAACTATACAATTAAGAGGGAGAACATTCACAGGGTGAAAGGGAGAATACAGACAACTGGACATGGTCCACTTCCCCACTACCGCTGCTGGGGAGCTGCATTGCCATATGCGCTCGAAGACTAATTTCCCTGTTGCCACAAAACAAGAACCAGACCTGGTATCTTTGGACAGCTGCAGGAGTCTTGTGCTCTCACAGACTGCCCTGGCAGCTGCCCTGAAGCACTCCATATCGAGCATCTTTGGAATTTCCCACAATGCCTTAGGACAGGGTTGTCAAACTTTGTTCAACCCAAGGTCTGAATGCAATGTTAGAGGAGCTCTCAGCCCATTCCAGTGATGGATGGGTCCAAAGGCAGAAGAAGCAGGGCTAAAGGAAAGGAGAAAGGGTACAAAAGTATTACGACATCACAAACAAGCATATGTCCTCTTAAACTTTGGTTCCCAATAACTCACTTTTTTTTTTTTTTTTGGCCTTTAGAATGGTGAGCTTGGTGGGGGTGGGGGGGGCATGCACAAAAGCCATCTGTAGATGGGATCAGCAGATAGAAGAAAGAGGATGTGGTTCTTGAGGGAACTACAAAGAGCCAGATTTGGATCAAAACTGCTAGAGCAATGCTATGATGGATCCCCTTAAATGTACAACCATCCCTGACAACATCTCTGCCCGGAGGCAGACACAGGGCGATATGAAAAGAGGCAACAATACAAGCCAATGTGAAATGAGCCATGCATTTTATTACCTACCACAGAGTAAAATCCTGCAGTAAAGCTGTCCGTTATCACTTTCTTGCATGTTACTCCTTCCTACACAGTCCCTGCATCTGTTTGTTACCTGCCATTCAAGCACACCCACCAGCCTTCTCCTTCAGTCACCTTTACTTGTGGGCAGCCTTCATCACCTTGACTACATTTGGTTTAACTAAGGGAGATATAATCAGTTGTTTGCCTTTTTTTAAAAGAACCAAGTAAGGGATTTTACTGTTTCCAGGGAAAATGCCAGTTTTCATTGAGCTTCTTTCACACATGTATTTTCAATTAAAAAGAAGGAAAGAAGAAGGAAGGAAGGGAAGAAGGAAGGAAGGACAAAAGAATGAAAGAAAGATGCTGCCTTGGCAGCTTGAAAATTGCAAACCATTTGTTGAAACTAACATTTGAGCTAAAGATGTTACATTTTTTTGGAGCAGATGCACCATTTACTTGGAAATACGATGGCTCAGACTCCTTTATACTGACCAGGAATGCATAGTAAGCCATGAACATAGAGACCTGATTTTGCACAGCATAACAACCCATTGTGGTCAACTAGTCGAGATGGGTCATCGTTCACCTGGAACCAGATATTTCTTGCAGAACAGCTTATTTGCAGCAACAAGCCACACTGACAACCCTGGCTTGCTCTAGGGTTGTTCAATCCACAATGCCATCTAAACCAGGGAGAGCAATTTATTCATCGGTTGCGGGGATCTGTCAAGAAGTTGCTTGGCCAAAGTGGCCTAAACCCTCGATGCTCTTTGCAGCTTTGCCCTAGCTGCTGCCAGAGAAGGCACATCCACCATGCTCAGTTTGAAGCAACTGTCACTGGTTTACCACCCTTTTATTTATTTTTATTTTATTTATTTATTAAAACATTTCTAATTTTTAAAAAAAAATTTAAATTTTTAAATTTTTTAAAAAAATTTTAAAAAAATTCAGGCCCAGAAATTTTTCAAATGTGTTTGTATTATTATTATTAGTGGTAGTGGTCTTTCACAACAGCGCTCATACATACATGTAATGTTTCCTGGTCAAGTTCTTTGTATAAAATGAGTCA